CTAATTGAGGAGTGGAAGAGGAATGCTCAAGTAAACTGAGCATTGGCAGTCACTACTATTTTGCCAATTCACAATATTAAGTTTAAGTTTGCATTTGAATTTCTGTCAGAAAATAATACAGTCGCAATCTCTATTGCATGATATAGTATGCGAACAGCTACCTAAACAGTAATTTGTTGTTTTATTCTGTGGTTACATGTATAATCAGGTTCAGTGTTTGTGTTTAATGCTTTTCATGTCTTTGTTACAAAAGTAGTGAGTTGGGTTTGGAAATTTATCAGAACCCGATATTCACACTGTTATTATGTTTGCATGAGAAAGCAGCAATGGGAAGAGAGAGAAAGAACGTAAAACAGAACTTTGCAATAAGAAAAAGGAAAATGTTATTTGGACAACAAAAGTTTGACACAATTTTGACAACGGCGAAGTGGCAGCTGTGCATTGGATCAGTGAACCGGGGTGAGGGGTATTTTGGGTTTTTTCTGGTTTGTTTTCAATTTACTGAGTCGCCGTTGTCAAAATTGTGTCAAACTTTTGTTGTCCAAATAACATTTTCCTAAGAAAAATATTATTTTGAGACCACTCGCACTAAACAGAGTATCATTTCGTACTTAAAAGGTGAAGCGTAAAGAGATATATATCGACCTAAACGAAAGCTAAGGCCTAAAACAGAATAACAGAAAGGAAAGGAACTTTAACAGGTCTTATGGAGAGAAAGTGTGGGTTTGGAAGTGATGAAAGTGAGTTTGCAACCACAATTTTCGAAACAATATTGCTGTTCTGAGAAAAGGGTTGAGATGATCCGTGCCAGCTTTTGGAAGGAAAGCCACCTGAACATCAGGTTCAGAAACAGACCTTCTTTTGTGTGTGCGTAACTCATATTTAAACAAACCATAATGGTATTGTTAAGTGTTGAAAGGAAAATACTTCTAGGAATGAAATTTTTCTTAGCTTAGGAGTTTACGTTCTTACGGAAGATTTTCTGACAAGTTAACGGCAAACAAACAAGAAATTAAAAAGAACGGAAATAGACTTGTTTATTTATTATGCAGTACAGGAAACTCGATTTCAGAATAATCTTGTATGAAAAGTACAAGTAGTTCCTTACACTTTGCTCATTAAGGTTTGGATATTCAACATTTAGTATTGAACCTTCTGGAACTGAACCTTGTATGGCTCAGAAGTTAGAGCCAAACGCTTGCCATATTGGTCCTGATATATTCCAATATCACTGCATGGATAATTGCAATAATTGCACACACTTGGACAATAAACCATCTTGNCATAAAAAATACATAACTTTAAAATATTTTAATAATTTTTATTTTAATTTAAAATAAAAAACTTTGAAATTATTTAAATATTTTTAGACTTAAAACTTAAAATCTATAATATATAAAAATATTTTTATCAACTAAAATTTAATATATTTTAAAAGATTATATAAATTAATATATATATATATATATATATATATATATATATATATATATATATATTTTGATTCTTATAAATAGAGTTATTCTTTTGGAATGTCACAACTAGCATATATTATATATAAATTTTAGGATCTATTGAATTATTATTTTATAAATTCTTTATGTTAATTTATTTTTATTGTTAATATTATAATAACAATAATAGATGGCTGATGTTTTTTCAAGATTATCTTGAAATGGTATATTCATATTTATGTATATAACACATGAGTTCAATGATAAGGAATATGAATAAATTTAATCTTAAATTTTGAACTGATTCATGAACTTTTTATATAGTATTTAATTTTATTATTTATATTCAATAAAAAAACTTATATTCATTTTTAATTATTCTTAATATAGTATATTTCTTCTCAAATATATAGTATACTTATATTGTTGTTGTTCTACTGTTTGTGTATTGATCACTGTTATCATGGATCGATTCTCAACTAACCACTCTTGACAAATCACTCTGGATCCATCACTTTTGACCAACCACTCTAAACCTATGAGTTGGACTTGAAGAACAAATATTGATATGATTATCATATAATTGTATTACCTTATTATTATTATTATTATTATAAGCCGATTACCAATATGAATAATTAAATTTGATATCATCTATAAGTATTTTAATAGATATTATCAATAAGTTTTTTAATAGGATAGTTTATTGAAAAGAAATTATGTATGTGTGATTTGAGCTCAATTACTTATGATTATTTTTTTAGAATCAAAATATAAAAAATTAAAATACACTGTTAAAACTAATAAATAAAATTATTAATTCAACAATCATCTCATTTTTCTTTACTGTTTTTTCCTCCATTCCAAATTAATTATTTTCTTTCTCTTTCCTTCCTTTCTTGTTTTTCATCCTTTTTTAGGACAAATCTTAAATAAGTCCACGCATTATATTTTCAAGTGTACCAATAAAAATGTATCTTTTTCTCTTCATCTCACAACAAAACAGTAACTACATGCTCTTGTGAGATCCAAGACACCAAAACATGTCTGTTCCTGAAGCTGCAGTTCATGTGGCTTTCCTCACAAGTGCTGGTATGGGTCACCTCAACCCATGTCTCAGACTAGCCTCAGTGTTCCTCCGCCATGGTTGCAAACTCACTCTCATCATTCCCAAACCCACTGTCACTCTTGCTGAATCAAACCTCATCTCTCGCCTTTGTTCTTCTTTCCCTCACCAGGTTACTCAAATTGACTTCAACCTCACCCCTTTGGATCCTACCACCGTTAACACCACCAATGACCCTTTTTTCCTTCAGTACGAAACCATTCGTCGTTCCGTTCACCTTCTATCTCCAATCCTATCTTCTCTTTCCCCTTCTCTCTCAGCTTTCATTGTCGATGTTTTCTTAATTTCTCCTATACTTCCCATCGTTGAGAAAATGTTTTGTCCCAGTTACATTCACTTCACCTCGTCAGCTAGAATGTTATCTTTCCTTTCATACGTTTCTGTTCTTGCTGATTCCGATCCAGCTGCACAACCGCACCCTTCTACGTTAGTTGGTGATGCTATTCATATCCCGGGTATCACATTACCGATACCAAGATCCTCGGTCCCTCCACCTTTTCTTCTTGAAGGTATCAACTCCTTTCAGAGAATGATCATGGAGGACGGTCCCAACCTCAAGAAGCACGATGGGGTTTTCATCAACTCGTTTGAGGAACTGGAAGGAGAGGCACTAGCAGCGTTGAATGAAGGAAAAGTGGTTAGAAAGCTGCCCCCGGTATATGGAATTGGTCCCTTAATGACGTGTGAGTTTGAGAATGTAGATCAAGGTCAAAAGGGTTGCATGAGTCGGATACTGAGTTGGCTTAATGAACGTGCTGAAGGGTCTGTGGTGTATATTAGCTTGGGGAACAGAACTGAGACAAGGAGGGAGCAGATAAAAGACATAGCTTTGGGGTTAATAGAATGTGGGTATAGTTTTCTGTGGGTGGTGAAGTTGACGAGGGTTGACAGAGAAGAGAAGGAGGATTTGGAGGATGTGGTGGGGAGTGAGTTGATGAGTAAGGTGAGCGAGAAGGGTGTGGTTGTGAAGGAGTTTGTGGACCAGACAGAGATTCTGGGGCACCCTGCAGTTGGAGGGTTTGTGACTCATGGAGGTTGGAATTCGGTAACTGAGAGTATAAGGGAAGGAGTGAATATTCTGATATGGCCTCAGGGTGCGGATCAGAAGTTTAATGCAGAGGTGATTAGGATGAGTGGGGTTGGGATTTGGGCTGAGAAATGGGGTTGGGGGACACAAAAGGTGGTGGAAGGGAAGGAGATCGCTAAGAGAATCAAAGAGATGATGAGCAATGAGTCTTTGAGGGTCAAAGCTGGAGAAATGAAGGAGGCAGCAAGGAAGGCTTGTGGTGTTGGTGGGAGTTGTGAGCTTATTATTAAGAGACTAATTGAGGAGTGGAAGAGGAATGCTCAAGTAAACTGAGCATTGGCAGTCACTACTATTTTGCCAATTCACAATATTAAGTTTAAGTTTGCATTTGAATTTCTGTCAGAAAATAATACAGTCGCAATCTCTATTGCATGATATAGTATGCGAACAGCTACCTAAACAGTAATTTGTTGTTTTATTCTGTGGTTACATGTATAATCAGGTTCAGTGTTTGTGTTTAATGCTTTTCATGTCTTTGTTACAAAAGTAGTGAGTTGGGTTTGGAAATTTATCAGAACCCGATATTCACACTGTTATTATGTTTGCATGAGAAAGCAGCAATGGGAAGAGAGAGAAAGAACGTAAAACAGAACTTTGCAATAAGAAAAAGGAAAATGTTATTTGGACAACAAAAGTTTGACACAATTTTGACAACGGCGACGTGGCAGCTGTGCATTGGCTCAGTGAACCGGGGTGAGGGGTATTTTGGGTTTTTTCTGGTTTGTTTTCAATTTACTGAGTCGCCGTTGTCAAAATTGTGTCAAACTTTTGTTGTCCAAATAACATTTTCCTAAGAAAAATATTATTTTGAGACCACTCGCACTAAACAGAGTATCATTTCGTACTTAAAAGGTGAAGCGTAAAGAGATATATATCGACCTAAACGAAAGCTAAGGCCTAAAACAGAATAACAGAAAGGAAAGGAACTTTAACAGGTCTTATGGAGAGAAAGTGTGGGTTTGGAAGTGATGAAAGTGAGTTTGCAACCACAATTTTCGAAACAATATTGCTGTTCTGAGAAAAGGGTTGAGATGATCCGTGCCAGCTTTTGGAAGGAAAGCCACCTGAACATCAGGTTCAGAAACAGACCTTCTTTTGTGTGTGCGTAACTCATATTTAAACAAACCATAATGGTATTGTTAAGTGTTGAAAGGAAAATACTTCTAGGAATGAAATTTTTCTTAGCTTAGGAGTTTACGTTCTTACGGAAGATTTTCTGACAAGTTAACGGCAAACAAACAAGAAATTAAAAAGAACGGAAATAGACTTGTTTATTTATTATGCAGTACAGGAAACTCGATTTCAGAATAATCTTGTATGAAAAGTACAAGTAGTTCCTTACACTTTGCTCATTAAGGTTTGGATATTCAACATTTAGTATTGAACCTTCTGGAACTGAACCTTGTATGGCTCAGAAGTTAGAGCCAAACGCTTGCCATATTGGTCCTGATATATTCCAATATCACTGCATGGATAATTGCAATAATTGCACACACTTGGACAATAAACCATCTTGTAAGCATCCTCGTACTTCTCAATCTTGAACCAATTGCTTCTTGTTTGAGAGCCAGGGTTACCCAAAGAACCACCGGTTGTGAGAAACCACTGTGATGTTGAATAATCATAGTCCTTAAGCTTCCACACTGTGGACTGTGGACAGCTTGTGTAGGTGGAGAAAAAGATGTTGAGATCAGTGGAAACGCGAATGACACCTTTCTTATCATTAACAGGAAGAAAGCTCAATTGGAGGCCTTGGTAACCATCAACAGCTACAACATCAAGAGGGCAATCTTGACCTGTGCTTGAGAGAGCAATGCCACCTACATCAGAGGATGCTGGAACAATGTAGTAATTCTCACCAGCTCTCACCTTCTTCCCTGATGTGTCCACAATTTGCTCTGGTGCAGCACCTGCTTCCCCAAGTAGTGCCTTTGTGCTCAAGCCAACCACTAGGACCAATGCTACCAATGTCATCTTCATTTTTCGCTGTTTGATTTTTTCTTCTTGTAACTCCTGTGAGATGGATATGAAAGAAGGGTGAGATTTACATTTATATAAGCCAGGGATGGATCTAAATCTATGTACCCATTTGCACCAAAGTCCTGGATTTCTTCTCGTACAATTGGCCTATAAGAATTCAACTTTTGTCAAAGGAACTGTGTTGTTCAGAATGCTGTGATTGACTAGATTTATAAGTTTCTGATGAAGTTATAATTTGGTTTATACTCAGTCTTCCAGAGCCTAACTTGTTGTACCATGTTTAAGACAGGAGTGAAAGTGCTTCGCCTGTTTAGTATGCAAAGCAAAAGAAGCACATAGATTAGTGCATGTCCATTTTCTAAGCTCTGCATTGTGAGATTAATGAATATCCTGTTTTTCTCCTTTTTTTATTTCCTTAGGTTCATTGTTCTTTTCTTCAAATTTAGGCATGTGGGGGCAGAAAAAGAGGCTGCACAATCAATAATCAAATATTTTGTGTCCCTAACCCAGAAAACCCGTAATTCAACAAATTCTACGTGCTGCAACTTTTATATGTAGAAATCACTAAGTCTAAAGTTTTTTACATTCGTTTCTCACATTCTTGTTTTAACTTTCACAATAACTAGTTATAAATTATATATGATGATAATATTTTATTGACTAAAAATAATATCTTTTACATGACACTGTTTTTCTAAACTTTACTTTGATTGAATTACTAGATTTTTCCATTTCTTAAGTTACAATGTTTACTTAAAAGAGTACGATGTATTAATAACTTTTTTAACTAATTTTTTGATAATACACTATGCATCACTATTTTATTCATGGTTTGTATATTTGAAACGTAAAAAAATTGTAAAAAAAAAGGTTGTTTAAGAAACATTTTATTATGCTTAAATGACATTGGCTTTTTACATCAACGAAACATACTCAGTAAACTGCGAGGAAGAGATTAGGTTGGAATGAGTGTTATAGCTGAGAATGGTTTTACCTAATAAACCACAGGATCATGTGGGGGAGGTGATTTCTAGAAAACAAGGAGTGTTCAATACTTTACTTTGGAGGGTTACACATAAAATAGTGTTCATATCAATTATGAGAGGGTTGACCATGGTTGGAAAACAAAAAATAAAATAATTTTATAATATATAAATAAATATAAATTTAATTTTACAAGTTAATTTTGTAAATTAAATGTAAGATATGCTTTTTTAATACCACGATGTGTTCATAATATATAACAATTATTAAGAAGAGAAAGAGAGAGGGGTTTATTGAGTACTTTATGAGTTACGGAGTTTTTAAATATGTAAGTTTGAACAATAAAAGTAGAGAGGAAAGATCTGATGATAAAATGAATTGTGTTAAGAAAGAGAAGCAAAACTCTTATTAAAGTTTGATGTGACAGCTATCTAACACGTTGTTATTCTTAATTATTCACGTGTAATTATATAATTGTGGATTCTATATTCAGGTTTTTATTTCTCAAATGTTGTTTTATAGCAGCCCAAATAAAATATTTATTATTCAATAGCGACACAAGTATTCTAATGAATATGTCTATTTACGAATCACGAGAGATCAAGTTAAATTAAAAGGAAATAAGAACTTGAGAAAAAAAAACTATTAAAAATTATTAACTATATTTATATAATATTTTAATACAAAAATTTAGAAATAATATTACTCATTTGTTTCTTAAATTTATTTTCGATCATACTTATCAATTTTCTAATTTAGAAGCAAAAGTAAAAGTAATTAAAACTTAAAATTTATTATTATGATTTTTTTTTAATGAAAATGTATAAACTAAATAACTAAATTCAAAGAAAAAAAGACAAAAAAAAGAAGAAGAAAGTTTTACAAAGTCTAAGCTATGTTTTTTAATCACGTTAGGCATTATAGTACTTTATCCTAGGTTACAACTTTAAAGTTCATTCATTATTTGCATCATAAATAAGATGAAAAAAAGATACAGAATATATTGGCAAAGTAAAGTAAATCTTTAAAGTCTAAAAAAAAAGTATAAACAGTTATATCTATAGAAAAAAAATATAAAAAGAAAACAATTAATCAATGTTTTACATCAACTTAAATTTATACCATATAATTTTCAAGTTTTTTTTAAAGTTAACTTAAATTTAAAGTTTACTTCTTAAACATCAACTGTATTAATCCTCTCCTTAGTCTTTATATCTTGAATAATACATGAAAAAAAATAATTTTCACTATTCATTTACGAGTAGAATCACCTTCTTCACTAGTGTGTATCACATCTTTCCCTCAATATTGTTTACATTACTCTTGTGAAATGTGTGCCCAGGTGAAAATTCGTATTTTTTTGTGACCATTTCTTCCACAATAAGTACATTATCTACCCTCTAAAGTTCTTGTTTTCTTGATTTGAAAGGATGTCATGTTTTCTGTAATACACAAATTCAATGTGTCCTACGCGACCACAAAATTTATAATTATTAGTGCTAATAAAATTTAAAAAGTTTGTGTTTTTAACCCTTGATTCACCCTGTACAATATATCCATTTTATTTGTCTCTACTAGATAAATATGAAAAAATCTTGGACATGGGAGGGATAGGATCAATTTACAACATATGGGATTTGACATTAAAATATTGTTCATTTAACTCATTCAATAATTGTGTTATCTGATCTTTCCTTTTTCTTTAAGAAATAATACAAAAAAATTTATAGGAACATTTAATTCCGCACGTGAAAATTCTCCAATTCATCCTACATGATACGAAGCTTGGTAAAATATTGTGATAGAGAAATCTCCTTGTTTAAGAGTTGATGCTTTCATCTTCAGCTTCGATATGCGAAACAAGTTTCCTTCAATGTATCTTGATCTCAAATCTTTCTTGATGTCTTCGGCCTTGTCCATTCATAGCATGCTTTAATCGATTGACTAAAAAATCAAATGAATGATCTATGAAATAATCATATTATTGCTTCTTTGCCAAGCTCTATACGATTTATGTGTTTTTTCTGGTTCCTTCGTAACTCGTCGATAAATACCAAATTGTTTTTAGCACTTAAGTTGTCTCCATGGAACGACTCCAAGAATGGTAATTATTATCATCAATAACAAGAAAGACAAGGATGATAGAGGGATTCTCATTGGGATGCATGTATGAATGACTCTGTATGGAAACTTATGCCATGGCAAGAAAGGAAAAAGAAGGAAAAGAGGCGTAAGAAGAAGGAAAGAAACAAATATGCAAAAAAGCTCTTAAGGAGCGAAACCAAGACAGACTATGCGCAACAAAGTCCTTCCTAAGTAGAGATTTGATACCATTTCAGAACATCCAAAACCTTGATACTATAATGGAAAAGATAAACCTTGAGTGTGCAATGAGCCATTGTAGAAAAATGAGACATAGGATAAAGAAACAAAGAAAAGCAAAGACAATGAAAGAAAAAAATTATTAAAAGGTAATTGAAAAGGTATACAATGGTTTTACATATATATATATATATAAGACAATAAATCAAAACAGAAAAATAAAACAAAAGCTAACAACCCCCTTTAGCTGAATGTACAAATCAAACAGTCAAAACTTGGAGCATATATTTTTTAACACTACAGGAGATAAAGGTTTAGTGAGAATATTCGCTAGTTAAATGCTAGTGGAAATCGGAAGAAGCCTAAGAAGCCCAATACTAATCTTGTTTCTAAACAATATGACAGTCAATTTCAATATATTTGGTCATTTCATGCATAACTTGATTGAATGTAATTTGGATGGCAGATTGATTATCACATTAAATGGAAAAAAGGCTTTTTGTAATAACTCTCAAATCATTTAGTAGAAAAAATAACCATTGTATTTTACAAGTTGTAGTAGCCCATGCTTTATATTCAACTTTGAATGAACTTTTCAAAATAGTCGACTGCTTCTTAGAACGCCAAGATACAGAAGAGTTCCCAAGATATATAAGGTATCGTGTGACAAACTTTCTTGTATAACTGCATCTTGTCTACTCAAAATCATTGTACCCTTTAAGTTGAATGTCACTATTTACAACAGTAAATATCCGTTTTCCTAGTTAGAGTTTGTTTCAGGTAGCGTAAAACTCTCATGATCAGCTTGATTATGAGAAGGAGTAGGGGCATAAGCAAACTGGATTGAGTGGTGAAAGTCATTGTAAGAGTCTATCTTAACGAGATTTGTTATTTATTGACACATTGTTTCACTTATATCGGGCTGATATTGAACCACTCACTAATGTTTAGTCTCTCAACATGAGAAGTGTGTGTTACAAATCTCACATCAATTAGAGATAAGACAAATTTGTAGTGTATAAATGAGTGTAAACCTTATTTACAAATCATTTTTGTGGAGTTAAGTTAGAATTAGTCCACTTCTTAAAAATCAAACCAAAAAAAATCAAATCTACTTATAATCACCAAATTAGTTAAGTTATCAATACATTTCTTTTCTTTTTTTCTGAAAATTTGTGAAACTTTATAACCTGCATCTTACTCTCTTTAAGATATTTAATGACTACTTTTAAGAGTTTTGGAATAGAAGTAGATTTGAAAAATTAGAAGAAAAAAGAAATAATAAGAAAAAAAAATTAAGATTGTTTAAATTAGGAAAAAGATAGTGAAAAGTATGAAAAAAAATGGAAAGAAACTTTATGAAAATTTATGAATAGTGGGATTGATATATTAATATATTTAAAAATACTTTAATGTAAAAAGATTTTTTTTAATAAATTAATTTAATTTAAAATATATTAAAAAAATTATCAAAATTTAAATAAATAAATTTTATTTTATTTAATTAATTATTATGAAATAATTAATTAACTATGACTTTTGTCAACANTTGCCATATTGGTCCTGATATATTCCAATATCACTGCATGGATAATTGCAATAATTGCACACACTTGGACAATAAACCATCTTGTAAGCATCCTCGTACTTCTCAATCTTGAACCAATTGCTTCTTGTTTGAGAGCCAGGGTTACCCAAAGAACCACCGGTTGTGAGAAACCACT